CGGTTAAAATCCACTGAGCCTCATGTATGTTCCCTGGTTTTAGCCATGGAGAAAACTCTTTTGGTTACATTTACACTTGCTCATATTTTCCAGACAAAGTTAATGGTGCATCTCCCAAATGTCCCGGCCGCAACAACGCTTTATTGGTTCCGCTATCGGGACGGAACCAATAATGGCGAGCTGTTATTTTTTTAAATAAAAAAAATCGTCAATTTTAATGTTTTATTTAGATTACAAAAATAAATCGTAATAAAAATGATCCTATTTATGATGTTTTAAAGATTAAGACCTACGAAAGACTGATTTAAGACATTTTAATACTAATTAAGGTCTTAAATTTTGAAGAATTCAATGCCTTTTAAGACTTTTTAAGGACCCGCGGGAACCCTGTTATTGTCCCTCTTTCGTTGTGGCGTGGAATATTGAACCACGCTTCAATGTTGGGAATAAATTAAAAATATCTGCGACATGCTCACTGCTGCGGGAGGATAACCAGCCCTATAGCTGCTGTCTGCTCCTTGCAGCTGATCTGTGGCGTTCTGACTGCATATGAGATAATGAAGCATCCATTATGCCATTCTTAATTTGTTTTCTTTTTTTACAAACGCAGTAAAATCCTTCATCATCCTTCCCGCCGACAAGCTGCAGCCACGTCCCAGATTCCTAATTTTCCAGTTTAAACTTGCATTTTTCCCTCATTCTCTAGCCGCTACACTTCTTTTTCAAACATGCTGCTTTACGACCAACTGGAAGCAGGAGCCAAATATATTTGATAAAACATATCTGTCCAAACTGTTTTAAAACATATATTTCTTTTAAAAATTAAGGTAATTTCATTGCTACCGATTTTAATGCCCTTTTTAAAAAAGTTTATATAGTGACTTTAAATTAGGGCTGCAACCAACGATAATTTTGCAAATCGATCAATCTGTTGGATTAATAATCTGATAGCCAAAGGTTCATTGAAGAAGATTTTGAAGAACTTAAACCAGGTGAAACTAAAACGTTTCCGCTTGTGAAGTTATGAATAGAGCATATTGACAGAGGAAAAAGTCTTTTTTATATCTTAGAGGCAAAATTTTCATATATTTTTTTTTTTTACAATTGCTGCTCTAAGTGGGTCGCTCTGTCAGCAAAAGGAATATTTTACAGTCTCTGTACTCAATTTAACAATTCATTGACTAAATTAGTTGACAATTATTTCAATAATCGATTAATCCGATTAATTGTTTCAGCCCTACTTTAAATGCTTTTTAATGAGCCACAGAAACCCTGCTTGATTTAAAGTCTTGTACTCTAAATGTGAATAAATCTATAGAAACATAAAGTGAAAGAAAAAAAAATTAGTAAAAAAAAAGAAAATCATTAAAACACCAGAATCTAAAACAACATGTTGAACATTATCAGTGGTAGTTCGCAGCTCTACCTGTTGGTCAACCTGGATCTCGTAACGGATATGGTTATAAATGTCCCAGGGGTTCAGGTACGGAGGCAGAAGTTCCACGCAGAAGATGGAGCCGCAGAGCGTGACGTCGATCTCGGGCGGAGGAAGGTGAGCTGGAAAAGCAGAGAAACAATCACACGAATAATTCATCGCTACTCAAACCCCCATCTGCTGAAAGCTCATCTTAAATACAATACATGCTGGATAATTAAACCTGCTATGAGGCTTTAATTAAAGGAGCAGTAAATCTGACTTCCTCACCTGCGCTGGGCTAATGCTAGCTCCACATGAACCCACTCATACACAAGTCAATCATGCGCCCCTCCCCAAGGAAAGAATTGCCATGAAAGGGAGTCAGAAAAAGCTCTACACTGCCAAAAAATTGAAATCTAAATAAGTAATTTTGATTAAAATAAGTCAATTTTTCCTTGAATTGAGAGAGTGAGACATTTTTCCAATGGAAAAAGACGATGACATTTAAAAT